TCCTATTCGTTCTTGATCACATGCTACCTCATGACATGGCTGAACTGTGAGCATTTCTTTTTGGTACACTGACTCTATGTTGTTGTTGTTAAGTGCCGTCGAGTCGGTTCCGACCCATAGCGACCCTGTACAGGGTTTCCGAGGGTGTAAATCCTTACGGGAATAGAAAGCCTTATCTTTCTCCCGCGGAGCGGCTGGTAGTTTCGAACCGCTGACCTCTAGGTTCGCAGCCCGATTCGTAACCACTACGCTACCAGAGTTGTTTAGATTCATGCAGTTATACAGACCTCCACAAGATGGCAGTATGCACTGAAAGTGGGATAGCAACAGCCCACTAAACCAGAGATTCAACAAGCCAAAAAGCCACAAGACCAAACCCACTGCCTCTGAGTTGATTCTGACTCAGAAACTCAATGTTGTTGTTGTTATGTGCCGTGAAGTCGGTTCTGAGTCATAGTGACCCTGTACAGGGTTTCCGAGGCTGTAAATCTTTGCTGGAGCAGAAAGCCTCATCTTCCTCCCACGGAACCGCTGGTAGTTTCAAACTGCTGTCCTTGAGGTTAACAGCCTGACTCGTAACCACTACGCTACCAGAGCTCCTTCAGCAACTCAATAAGAGACTAGAACTTCCACAGAGGGTATCGGCGGCGTCTTCATTTGTCTCTAACCGGTGACTGCTGGATTCAAACCACCTGCCTTTAGGTTAGCAGCCCAACACTTAACCCACTGCACATCCAGGGCTCTATCACTAGCTCCAGAGGCAGAAAATGTCGGTGGGTACTATATGTCCCTCAGCTCACAAAAGCCCCTCCTCTGAGAGGCTCTGAGCTGGGCCCTTGGGACTCTGTTGTATTAAAGGGATACCCAACCTGGAGGGACAGACCACCTTCCCATGAGTCCCAGGTACCCCAAGCACCCCAACGCCTCATGCTCTCCATCCTAGGGTGCCGGGCTTCGTTCTGATCCCCGTGGGCTGGAGAGCCCACACCTAGGTTCAGGGCTCCCTGAGATTGGTACAATCACTCCCATTTGGAAGATGACAGGATTGAGGCTCTGAGAATTGAGGCTGGTTGGTAAGTGGCAGGTCCTACGCCCCCTACACGCCCTTGACCCCAGACCTACCCTCTCTCGACGGTATATGTCTCTGACGCATCGCCAGATGCCTGTGTACTTCGAGTCCGTCTGTATCCTGACCTGTGGGAGAAGTCGGCTTCAGGAAAGGGTGGCTTAAGCCAAGGGCAGACCAGCAGGAGCCAAGTGAACAGGGACAGGGAGGTCTGTGTAGGATGAGACAAGTTTGGCATCGGAGTGAGAAAGAGGGATGGAGAGTCCCAAGGACCCTGGGAGCCATTGGAGGCAGTTGAGTCAGGGAGGCCTAGGGCTGTCTGTCTAACATCTAGAAAGGTTTTCTGGCTATGGATGGGCAGAGGAGACACTAAGGGTGGCCAAGACCCAGCAGGGGCCTCGGGATGGGTAGAGTCTAGCGGTCACCGTACCTTCACTGTGTCTAGGGGATAGCCAACAGCAACACCGCAGACGCCTGGAAGGAAATCAGAGGTAGTGGTGAGAGAGTGGGCGGCGGCCAGGAAGGCGCTGCAGTGGGGAGGTTTCCTCATACAGACTCCAGGGAGAGCAGACCCCACCCCAGCCCTGCTTGTCTCCTGCATCCCATCAGTACTGGCAGATGAGGAAGCTGGCCATGCTGACTCCAGCTGCCCCTCCTTCCGGACAATGGTAGCTCCTCTGGAAGCCAAGGGCACTCAGATCTCCTTGCTGGCACCTTGTTTTGGTCCCCATGTCCACTGGGCCACGTTCGCTGCCCTCTAAGTCAGCCCCTGGCCTCAGGCTGAAGCCTGTGAGTTGAGACCTGACTATACAGCTTTGGTGGGGGCAGCAGGGAGGCAAGACCAGAGCAAGATCCAGACACGAAAAATCCAGACACACCAGGGACCCTGTGAAGAGCCAGGATGGCTCGGAGCCACTGGTTTGAATGGGACAGGCTGATGGTGAGTACACACCTCACAGAGAGGCAGCGAATGCAACCTCCTTCCCTGTTCCCTTCCTGACACCAGGGCTTCAGTGTGTACGCTCCCAGCACCGCCCTGAGGGACCTGATTAAGGAGCAGGCTGGTCCCTGAGGGGGTAGTGAGGGTCATCTGAAAACAGTAAGGAACATGAGGTCTGTGAACCAGGACCACAGAAATATGCATCAGTAGAAGAACAAAGTGAATGAATGTATGTATGAAGCAAATGATTGATCATGGAACTTGGGTATATTCAAGGAATAAGTCATAAAGTATTGCTACAGGTCATGTACGGCGTCTCCCTGCCTGCAGGAAAGAAGGGTGATGAAAACTGAAGACGCTTGGAAACCATTAGTTCAGTAGACTAACGGAACACGTGAGCATCAGTCTCCACAACCATGAGACCAGAAAAACTACATGGGGCCTGGTCACTGCTCTGAAAGGGATCACATTATGAGGTCCTGGACAAGGTGGGAGAAAATGTGGAACAAAACTCATTTAAAAAAATTTTTTAAAGATAGATCTCTTGTGACACAATAGTGAATAATTGTTATCAGGACTGATTGTGAGGGTTGGAAATGTAAAGGTAGACGTTTTATAGCAAGGAGGGGAGTGATTAACTTTTCAGTCTAGGAGCAGAGGTCCCTGGGACCGTGAAGGGAGAAGAGTCGAGAGCAGGACCCTACCCAGAGAAGCAGTGATGCCTGAGATGGAGGTAGAAATGATGACATGGAGAGATGGAGCAGTTGGGGACTTTAGACACAGAGAGGGAGAGCGACTGTGTGCTGACAACCAGGGGGCAGGCTTGTAGTGTATACCCTCTGGTTAGTTGATGATGCATGGAGGGGATTGTAACCATGACAATGAAATAGTATATGATAGAATGAATGTAAAGCTAATGTTCTCACAGGTAAACTATCACATAATTCACAATAAAATATTTTTTAAAAAAGGTCAGGCTTATTGGTCATAAAGAAACTTAGAATCCTGAGACTATGGCCGTTGGTCACACTTCGGGTCTGGAATTGAACCCACCCCTGTGGTTTAATCTTCAGTCTCGGGGGACAGCAACACTAATGAGGTACACACACCATAGACTGGTCAATCATTTGAGATCCAAAGTGACGGCATTTACTTAAGGACAAAATTCAGAAGGGTGGGGAAATAAGAAACATATGAAAGAAGTGAATTGAGTGATGTTGCCTTGAGGAGATTTGTTTAATTGTACAAGATGATTCACTGCTTGAATCACCAAGCAATGTAAAACTAGTGATCTGCTCTGTAAACTTTCACTCAATTCACAAGAAAAAGCGAAAAACTAAAGGTTTTGAAACTTTATTAAACAAAGCGAAGCTCTTGTTTCTTGGCCTAGACTTCATCTAGGTCTACACAGTTCTGAAGGTAGAGTTTCCATCTCTCTAATTCTGTGCTCTTCAACTAACACCAAATCAACACAGCGGTTTTGGCATCCTCTAGGGTTTCAAATCATATACATTTTCAATGTTCTTTGAAACATTCTGGGAAACAAAAAGAGGTCTGAAGGGACAAGATCAGGGCTACAGGGTAGATGGAGTAAGGTTTCCCAACAAAATTCTTGTAAGACAGCCCTTGCTATCCTCGAAGAATGAGCAGGTGCATTGTCTTGATAGAAAAAGACAACTTGGGGTCTTTTTTCTCATCCCTGCAGTTTTCCATTTTCTTAAAACTTGTTCCTCGTAAGTCCCCATGATCATCCTAAATCCTTGAAAGAAATCTATCAAGATGACCCCTATGAAGTCTCAGAAGACAATTGCTGTCATCTTCTGAGTTGACCTCTCTGCCTTGAATGAAACTAGCCCAGCAGATCCCCTTGAAAGTTAGTGTTTTGATTGGACCTTTTTCTTGAAGTCACCCTAACGAGACTAAGACAAATTTATTACTGAGAGAACTTGTCTGTGGCCATCCACTGACATGTTCAAACACATTTTGTCTGGAATAAACTTTTGCACGTACGAACTGGAACTCTAGTAGCAAACGTTTTTGACTTACCATATACACTCCCCCAAACTCCTATTCATCTGTCAAAGCCCTACAAGAGCCTTGCCCTTCTAGAGCCCTCCCAGACTCCCTGCTCAGGGAAGCCTCTGTGCCTAGAAGCTTGTTGGTCAGAGTCTTGCTGCTGTCCCTCCAGAACCAGAGCTCCTCAAGGGCAGGTCCAGCCCAGGCCAGCAGCAGGAACCTTTTCCACACAGGCCTTGCAGTGGGCTCAGGTGCCCTTCCTGGCTGCATGACCTTGGACAAGTCAGGTACGTTTTCTAAGCCTCCTTATTGTTGTTGTTATGTGCCGTGGAGTCGGTTCCAACTCATAGCAACCCTGTACAGGGTTTCCGAGGCTGTAAATCTTTACAGGAACAGAAAGCCTCATCTTTCTCCCGCAGAACAGCTGGTAGTTTCGAACTGCTGACCCTGAGGTTAGCAGCCTGATTCATAACCACTATGCTACCGGAGCTCCTTAAGGTTTCTTTTAACATAGCAAAATTCTTGTATGTGAAAATATAGAGTCCCCTTTGAAATGCCTCAAAAGCATAATCTTAACAAGATTTCAACCTTTCATTTTTCAGAATACGTTCCTTATTAGGCAGTTAATATCTGGGGAAGTGACCAGCTTTGGACAGCAGGACCCCAGAAAGCCTGGATGGGAATGAGTATAACCCCACCCCCACCACTCACACACTCAGGATCTGACACCTTGCTCTTTCCCCAGGCTCAGAGCCCCCACCTCTCCTGACCCCCACACAATTTCCCGAAGTATTGATAAACCACCCTCTCAGTTTCGAAAAACAAACAAGGCCAGGAAATGTTGCTCAACGCATCAGCAGTCTGCTGATCGATGGCACTTTCCCAACAAACCCGTTATTCACCTGGCTCCATATTTTACAATAAACCTTTCCTCCCGGGAGGAAAACACTGAACAAGTCCAGAATGTGGCCTCAGAGTGAGGCTGGGGCCACCAACCCTGCTGCCTCTTCTCCTCTGTCCACCCAGACCCACTCTCCACCCTCTCCCAGGACCTCTTGCTCCTTCCCATGTCCACTTATCCCCTCTGCATGCCTGTGATACTCGGAACATCCCCAGCCTGGATCCCACTGACCCCACACCAGGTCCTTATCCAAACCACCCAGTCCTGAGGCAGAGTCCCATGCCCCCAGCCCCTCCTGGGTCCCCAACACGTCCTACCCCCTTGTCTGTACCTCCAATGGCTCCAGCAACAAAATCCATGGACAGTGTGGGACAGGTGGGCAGGTGGGCCCTGGCTCTATCTGCCTGCTTGGGAGAAGCCTGCAGCCACCACTGAGGTGGCCCCAACAATCCTCTGTCCACTGTTGGCAGGCCTTAAATACGTGGGCCCAGGCTCTGAGGTCAGAGAGCAGGGCGCCTGCTGCCAAGTGGCCACGGAGGTAGGTGGGTCAGTGCCCATGCACTGGGCAGCTGGACACTCTCCCAGCTGTCCCCACCCCCACCCAGTCAAGGACCCCTGTCCTAGGACCCAGGTATTGGTAAAGTGTGTGAGAGGTCACAGGAGATGGCAGGTTCCCAGGAAGCAGCAACTCTGTCCCATCACCTCCTGTGGAGATGGGCTGGGATGCCCCACCCCTCACGGCCCGAGCCCAGGCCCTGACCCTGTCCACTGGGCATCTCTGACACACCGGCTTTACCTAGAATCACTGCCCTGGGGAAGTCCCTGGGTGTTGTAAACAACAAATGTGCTGGACTGCTAACCAAAAGATTGGTAGTTCTAATTCATCCACCTAGAGGCATCCCTCAGAAGAAAACCCTGAAACAGTCAGTCACTGAAAATGCTATGGAGCACAATTCTACTCTGATACACATGGGGGCCACCATGAGTTGAGGTCAACTCAACATCAACCGTTTTTTCCGGCCCCGAGAACCTCAAAGCCCCACACTTATTCATGAAAGAACACTTTCTGAATAGAGATGGCACAAAAGAGTATAAAACCCTACCCTTGTCCCCAAGGAGCTTCAGCACGGGGAGGGACTGCTTGCAGCTCCCAGGAGATGCCCATCGCCCACCCCGAGTGGCAAGGACCCAGCCGTCCCAGCCTCTCTGCCGGGGGCTGCAAGTCCCCAACCAAGTTGTCCAGAGCACTCCTGAAGGGAAAGGTTTCTTCATCGGCTGACTGATCATTGTAAGAATGGGAATCCCTCACATGGACAACCCCCTGCACAGATTCAGAAGTTCAGAGGGTGCTTGTCACAGCTCCAGGAGAAAGGAAGACAGGGCTGATGACCCCGTTTTACAAAGGGCAGCCTCTGAGGCCCCGAGGGGGATACCTCCAAGATCATACACAAGCCTCCTGTCTGATGCCCAGAAATCAACTAGGGGAACCTGAGGCCAATGAACCCCAAATCCACAGCCATCAATGTTGTGGGCGCTTACAGAATTTAGCACCTGACAGTTTACAATGTCCTCAGCATGAATCACACTGCAGCCCTGGAAAGGGATACTGAGGCTCAGAGATACTATGCCTCTTAGCCACCTCCCCACTACCAAATAAAAACAAACAAGCTGCCACACAGTTGATTCTAACTCAGATGGCCTCATGCGTGCCACTGTAGAACTGCCCCATAGGGTTTTTTTGTTTACCACTTGTTTTATGTTTGTTGTTGTTGAAACTATACACCGCAAGACATACACCAATTGAGCAGTTTCAACACACACATTTCAGTGACATGGATTATATTCATCCTCCCTCCTTTTCTGAGTTGTTCCTCACGTAAACTCACTGACCCCTAAGTCCCCCATCTCATAATAAGTCCCCCATTTACATAGTTGCTGTTGGTAATTGGATACTATGTAAATGGCTCTTGAGAAAACACAATGCTCAAGGTGGACATTCTTTACCAGTTAAACTGAACTACTGTTTGGTTCTCCATGACTTTCCAAGACTGTGACCTTTCAGAAGCGGATCACCAGACCTTTCTTCTGAGATGCCTCTGGTTGGATTTGAACCACCAACTATTTAGTTAACTGTTTATACCAGGGATTCCGTGCCTCTGGCCCAGAGCCTCACAACTGGAACCAGAGTAAGTGTCCCTATTGACCAGAAAACTGGCCGGAGGAGGAGGGGCAGGAAGCCGCATGTCCAGCTGCTTCCCTGCCCTTTGACAGTTGGCCTGCATGTCAACCTTGAGCAAACTGAGTGCTGACCAAAGGGGGGCCACAACCCCAGCCCATCAGGGTGGGCAGTGCCAGCTGCCACGGCACAGGGCAAAGGACAGATGTGATGTCCAAGTCCAGTTTGAATGTCCATCCTGGCCTTTAAAGAGACGAAGTTCAGCAAATAGTCAGAAGTCAGACTGTGTATCTAAATCCCAGCTCTGCCATTCATGGCTGTGCAACCTCAGGCAAGCCTCTTAACCTCTCTGTGCCTCTGTTTCTGCATCTGCTAAATGAGAATTGTTTCTGCCTCATGTCTGTGGCCATTCAGGGAACGATCTGAGTATGATTCTGTCAAAGTGGGCAGCCAAATGCTGAGGCTGCATTAATAGAAGCATAGGGTCTAGAAGGAAGGAGGTGACAGGCCTGATCTGGGCAATGAGTTCAATTGCAGATGCTACCTCTGAGAGACCAGGGCCTTCAACAATGAGAATCATGCTGTCGATGGAAAGAGAAGGGACCCATTTGGTCCCCATTTTCTGTGGAGTGATGATGCAGTAGTGTCTGAAGTCTGGGAGTTGCCCTGGACACCTCTCCCCTCTGCCTCACCTCTACTAAGTAATCCAGTCCTGTGCGTTGCAAATTCACTTTCACACCCACTCACTGCTTCACCTGCCCCCTCTCTTCTCTGGACAAAAGCCTGTCCCCACCCACCACCCACAGTGTGCCAAGTTTCTGGGGGAACAGCAATAAACAAAACAGACCAGAGTCCCTGCCCTGGCAGGTCTTACATTCTAGGGAGGGTGACAAACAATCCCCAAGATAAATAAGCAACATACCGAGTGTATCAGGTGCTGGCTAGTGCCAGGAGCGAACAAAGCAGAGAGGAACAAGGGATGGACGTGGCAGAGCAGGGGACAGTGCAGGGTTAGGAAGGTGACATCTGAGACAAGTATGTTCTCTAAGGCACCACAACCAAGTTTCACCTGACCAAACGTGCCCAAACGTTACCCTTTCTCATGGCGGAATGTGGAAAACAGGTCCCCTCTCTGCTTAGGCTGCTTTACACAGGTCTACACAATTCCCTGCTCAACTCTGAGATTTTGGCAGGCAGGAGCAAGCCTGGTTTGTCTCCATGACCATGGTACCCAGCATGGGACAGGCACCCTGGGGAGGCTGGGTGAGTGAGGGAGTGAGAAAGTGAGTCAGTGGATGGATGAACAGAGGGGTGCATGGATGGATGGGTGGGTGGATGGATGGATGGATGGATAGATGGATAGATGATGGATGGATGGATGGATGATGGATGGATAAATGAATGGATAGGAAGATGATTGGATAGGAGTTGAATAATAGGTAGATGGATGGATGGATGGGTGAATAGCTGGCTGAATGGGGGATATGGATGGATGGGAGGTTGGGTGGACAGATGGATAGATGGATGGGTGAATGGATTGATGGAAGGATGGTTGGGTGGGTGGGTGAATGAATGGATGGATGGATGAATGGATTGATGGGAGGATGGATGGTTGGGTGAGCAGGTGATTGAATGGATGGGTGGATGGACTGATGGATGGGTAGGTGGGTGGGTAAAAGAATGAGTGGGTGGGAGGGTGGATGGGTGGGTGGATGGGTGAATGAATGAATGGGATGGGAGGATGGATGGATAGGAATTGAATCGGAGGTAGATGGCTGGATGAAAGGATGTCTGGATGACTAGTCTTGCAGCCAGGATGGGATGAGGTAGGACTGCAGGACTTGGGGAATCAGTCAACACCCTTAACACCCACAGTGAGATCTACCCTGTGTTAAGACCTAACGATTAAGGGGATTCCTCGAGAAGGTGCCATCAACCACCTCACCCACTGTCCACTCATCCAACCCCTACCCCATCCATGCCAGTAGCATCCAGGTTCCCACCCCACCTACCCTGTCCCCACCCAACCCTCACCTCTACCCAACCACACTCACCCACATCCTCACACCCACCCCTCAGTCATGCAACCCTCACTCTCTCCCCTCATCCCCCACCTCTGACTTCCATCTCACTACTTCTTCCACGCACTCCTTAGAACATCCACCCCTTCCCAGGAGTGCTGTACCTGGAGCAGCGGTGTCTAGGGCCCTGTCCAAGAATCAGATGGCACTTACAACAATAACAACACTGTCATCAAGTCAGTTCTGACTCCTAGTGACCCTGTATAGGGTTTCCAAGGTGCAGCTGGTGAGCTTGAACCACCAACCTTGCCGTTCAAATCGACCTTGCAGTCCAGCGCATTAACCCACAGTGCTACCCCAGGACTCCCATGTCCATAGTAAAAACGATGAAAAGAAAACCAAAGAAGAAAGGAGACACAGTACCCTAACTGACCCCTTTGAGGCCTCAGCATTAACTGTGGTTTTGGAAATGCCAATCTGCCATTTGGGGACAGCTGACAGAGGGCCTTTCCCCCACCCACCTCCCAGCATCCTGTGCCCACCTGGATGTGATCTGTGTGCTAATGCCAAGACCCTCAGATCGCCAGGTTGTCAGGAGAGAGCTCAGCCTGGGTCACTCAGACGGGGGTTTTTTCTGGACTTGACTCTCCTGCTGTGTGGCTCTGGGACAGACTTCTCCAGCAGACGGTGGACCTCGGAGGCTTCTCCCCCAGGGAGTATGGGTGACAGGAGGTGCAGGCCATGGGACACTGTTAGGACCCCCTCAAGGCCACCCTCCCCGGGCTTCAGGGACTAGCTGTAGCAGTGAAAACCCACTGGAACACTCCGTGTGTGGCAGGGAGGCCAGCCCATCCTCCAGGGGGCGACAGAAATCAAACTAAAAACCAAAGGACTCTGGGAAGGACAAGGCAGGGGCCCAGGAGGGGCTGAGGGTTGCAGAGGATAAGGATCTTGTTTTAAAATTCCATCTTTTCATAATAAAAGAGAAAAAATACAAACGACTTTTTAAAATTCAGAGCTAAGACTTAGCCAACACAGAAAGTGAAAGTTCACACCAGGACTGAGCAACTGTCTGTCTGTCTGTCTGTCTGCCGGACCCAGGTCGACACTGACAGTCCCTTTTTGTAACATTATGTGATTTCCTTTCATTCTTCACCAGTAA